TCCAAAGCAAAAATCTGACATTGTATTGTTAATCAAAAATAATGTAACTTGTGTAACGTTGGCAATTGGAGATGGTAGTAATGACGGTAAGTTCAAAACACAGTTTTAATAATTAACTTTCTAAAGTGAGCATGATTCAAAGTGCCAATGTTGGAATTGGAATTTCAGGAATGGAAGGTTTACAAGCTGTCAATGCTTCAGATTATGCAATTGGCCAATTTAGATTCCTCAAACGTTTATTACTCGTTCATGGAAGATGGAACTATAGAAGAGTTTCCAAGTTGGTGGTTTATGTTTTCTACAAGAATATTCTCTTCTTCTTAACTCAATTGTGGTTCAATATTTATAATGGCTATTCAGGAGCTTCACTTCATGATAATTGGACAATAGCACTCTATAACACAATTTTCACTGGACTTCCAATTGTTGCCCTCGCATTTATGGATAGAGATGTACCTGATTATATTGCTGAAAAGTATCCAGAACTTTATTTCCAAGGACAAAAAAACAGATATGTAAGTTCAAGTTACTTGTTTTAATTTATTAATTATCTTCGAATAGTTCAATGCCAAAATATTCATTTCATGGATTGTGAATGCAGTATTCCATTCTACAATTTGTTTCTTCATTCCATACTATTGTTTAGTGGATAGCAAATTCATTGATGGACAAGATATTGATACACAAACTATTGGAATTGCAGTTTATTCCTGTGTTCTGGCTGTAACATTATTCAAGTTGGCAATTGAGACAGCCTCTTGGACCATTGTACATTGTCTCTTTTATTTTGGATTTTATCTTTCATTTCCTGCATTTGTCTTCTCATACGGAAGTGTTTATTATCTAATCAAGTATCCTTATCCTGTCCTTTCTGAAACCTACAGTATCACACAGAGATGGAGAATTTTCCTCTCACCTCAATTTTATTTCATTCTAATGTTGGTTGCCTTTGCATGTTGCCTTCGTGATATTTTCTGGAAAGGTTTTGTGAGAATGTATGATAGAAATTTCCTCTATGAGTTACAAGAAAAAAGAAAACAAATTAGAAAGGAGATGCAGTTCATCAAATAAGTTTTCAACCTTAGGACTATGTAAATGTGATTTTGGTTGTAAAATAAAGCACTGAATTTTAATGCAATATTTGGAAATCTGAGAACTTTTCAAGTGCAATCTTTCCAAATTTTATTGGAATAACTGTTGTAAAAACCTTATTCATCTCAATCCTCCACAACTCACTGTTATCATTTCAAACAATTTATAGAAATGGTTATTGTATTGCAACTAGTACAGATTAGAGTGATGGAAGAAATTTGAAAATTCACTTGATTAACAATATTCCAGCGAACTTCAAAAAACATAGTCGAGTATATAGCAAAAAAATGTCAAAACTCGATAACCCTAGTGCCATTTTTGTTTCCAATGACGAAGTATTTATTGCTGATACGGGTAATGATCGAGTGAGAAAATTGCTTCGGAATGGTCAAATTGTAACAATTGCAGGAAATGAGCGTGCATCATTGTATAATCCATCTTCTATTGTTGTTTCATCATCAAATCAAGTTTATATTTCGGAAAATGAGCGTCATTTGATTTACAAGATTGATGAATTTGGAATCATGACAAAAATTGCCGGAACATGTGAAACAGAATACAATGGAGATGATCAATTGGCTGTAAATGCAAACTTGAACTCTCCTTGTGGTCTTTTTGTTACTGATGATGATGAAGTATTATTTTGTGATAGAAGAAATCATCGTGTGAGAAAGATTGATAGAAATGGAATCATTACAACAATTGCTGGAGATGGAATTGAAGGATACGATGGAGATAATCAATTGGCAACATTGAGTTCATTGAAACACCCTTGTAGTGTATTTCAATACAAAGATGAAATTTACATTGCAGATTCCTTCAGTAATAGGATTAGAAAAATTGATCGTGATGGAATCATCCACACAATTGCAGGAAATGGAATTGAAGGATACAATGGAGATGGAAGGAATGCCACTGATACAAGTTTGAACAACCCTAATTCTCTCTTTGTTCACAATGATGAAATTTACTTTTCAGATTTAGACAATCAAGTGATAAGAAAGATATTACCCAATGGAATCATCAAAAACATTGCAGGAATTCCAGGAAAAAAAGGATATAATGGAGATTATAAATTAGCAACAAGAACAACACTTAGTTGGCCAAAAGGAATATTTGTTGATTCAAAAAATCAAGTTTATTTTGCTGACTACTATAATCATTGCGTAAGAAAGATTTTCAAGAATGGAAATATGAAAATAATTGCTGGAATTGGAGATGTATTTGGATATTCAGGAGATGTTCCATTTGATTTCCAACAATATCCACATATTGGACCACCAAGAAAGAAATCACCAATCAAACCATTCCCAAAATCATATCATGATTTGATTTTAATTTGTCAAATTGTTTAAGAATCAATTGGAAAAGATTAACCTTATAAAATTTAATATTTATTAAATAAAAGGTGTAAGGTTAGGATTCAGAGTTGATTTATTTGGGTTATTTAATAGATTACTTAGTGAAGATTCATATCATTGATTATATTATATTAATATCTAGATGTGTTCTATATTGAATAATCTATTTGAAAATGAGAAGAATTAACTCTTCTACTGAGTTTTATTGGTATTGCATGGAATTACGATTATAATAATCTACACAGAAATCACTCTTGAAATATAAACTGTACTAAAATGTATGAGAAACATACTGTTGGTGGAATTAACCAATAAATCGCTGAAGTGACTGAGATGGAATGTAAGCAATGGACTATTTGTCATGTAAAGGTGATTAGACAGTGTCAATTTCATCAAATTGTTTCAAACTGATTACATTCAATAAAAAAACCGTTCTATACATCACGTATGTCATACAGAATGAGTTTCAATATTTAAGATTGTGAACTGACTCTGTTGGATACCATCTCTATAAATATAACAAGATGAAAAGTGTCAATATTCAATTTCACATGTATGTTACTATGGAGAGTCATCATTATATCATCTGGATAGGTAATATTTCAAGTTTCAGTGGAATAGACAGTCTAGATATTGAGATGTGTATAAGGTGAAAGAAGTGTCACCTTCACTGATTACTGACATGAATATAATAATTGAATGTATTATTCTTGTATAATTAATTCATTATTCAATGATTTGGATTTTGGATATGATGGTAAAAATTAATTTTGAAATTAAGATTCTTCCCTTTTGATTACCTTAGATGGAATGTTGCCATGAATATAAAACTTTCTCAGATTGTTCTCCTCATCAAGGGAAGTGTATTCATATTTGATACAAGTATGATATTTTGTAAACTGACTGAGATGGTATTCATTCTATATGTTGAAATATGACAATTTGACAGATTGTTATTATTATCATATTGAATTCAATTCTAAAACACTAAAATTGATACCAGATGTATATCAGTGTGAATAAATGTATCTGGTAAAGTTACATGATGTTTGGATATACTTTCATTGAGACAGAGTGTACAATTGGATATAAGCATATTGACATTGAACATTTACTGATTGACTGAATGAAAGTATCATGAATTGTTTCTAAACTTGTATAGATGTATATAAATGGTGTATAGAATTTGTGTTATCAATTCTAGACTAATTACATATAAAATAAGTGATTTGGAGCATAATCTTTGTTTTTATGTCAAAGTTCTATAGTAAAATGATAGAGTTGTCAACTCAATATCTTTT